ACCAGAGGACGCTGTAGTCATAAAAAGAGCCGGACTTCTACCACTCATAACAGCTGCCTTGATAAGCGCCTGGCATCTGCCACTGAAGACTCTGCCCACATCAAAGACTCTTCCTTGCAAAACTGTGACGCTGCTGAGCTGCCCAAGCCAGGCCAGAATACTCTTTTTGTTCACATCGCTCTCCCTGTACTGGCTTGCTAACTCTTTTTCCTATCCCTTTTCTCATGCCATGTTACTTTGTTTGATGTGTAATTTTCAATCTATAATGTTTATATATTGGTAAGTATGCTATGTATGGTTTGCAATACTGACTGATCTGTGGAGTGGCTTGAGCCCGTGTGAATGCCAAGTCCTAAAAATTGTCGCCTCCTTCTTGGGAACTCCATAGAGCTGGTGGCTTTTGTGATCAAAGTAGCATCAAAAAAAAAAAAAAAAAAAAAAAAAGGCCTGACATTGTGGGAAGACACAAACATGTGTGTGGGAGACCTGCTTATCTCTGGCCTTGAACCACTCATGGTAAGTGTGACTTTGCAATTCCTCCCACCAAAAGGTACAGTATATTTCCCTACCATCTGACTCAGGCCTTATCTATGGCCCATAGAAGGTGCCGGAAGTGATGGTTTGTTAATTCCAAGCCTAGTCCTCAAGAGGTTTTTCAGCTTCCCTCTCTGTCTCTCCCCACCCTTCCCACACCCCTGGCCCCTGTGATTGGCATGAGGATATGCCCAGCCTAGCCTGCTGGAGGACCAGGCTCCTAGAGGAGCCAGGGGCTACTGACCTCAGCCAATGGCAGACATGTGAGTGAGCCTGTTGGAGGCCACAACTGCCCAGCCAAACCCAGGCCAGATCAGCAGAATCGCTCGGTTAAGCTGCCGGATGCCAGCAGTGTCATAATATTTTCATTTGAAAAGAGAAGCGGCCAGGCACGGTGGCTCATGTCTCTAGCACTTTGGGAGGTTGAGGTGGGTGGATCACCTGAGGTCAGGAGTTCGAGACCAGCCTGCCAAATATGGTGAAATCCCGCCTCTACTGAAAATACAAAAAAAAAAAAAAAAAAAAATTAGCTGGGTGTGGTGGCACGTGTCTGTAATCCCAGCCACTAAACAGACTGAGGCAGGAAAACCACTTGAACCCAGGAGGCAGAGGTCACAGTGAGCCGAGATCGGGCCACGGCACTCCAACCTGGGTGACAGTGAGACTGGGTCTCAAAAAAAAAAAAGAAAAAAAGAAAAGAGAACCATGAGGAATAAATTAAACTCCAAAGAGTGAGAGCAGTGGGATTTGAAGCCATGTGGCAACTACATAAGAAGGTCTTTTAGGGCAGGCAACCCCCATGACCTGTTGGGAACCAGGCTGCACAGCAGGAGGTGAGCAGCGGGCAGGTGAGCATTTCCGCCTGAGCTCCGCCTCCTGTCAGGTCAGCATGGCACTAGATTCTCTTAGGACCGTGAACCCTGTTGTGGGTTGCACACTCTGTATGATAATCTAATGCTTGATGATCTGAGGTGGGAGAATTTCATCCCAAAACCATCCCCCTCCCACCTCTTGTCTGTGGAAAAATTGTCTTCCGTGAAATCAGTTTTTGATGCCAAAAAGGTTGGGGACCACTGTTTTAGAGGCAAGGGACCCCTCTCCGTCTCTGATCCCCAAATGCACTGACTCCTCTCAGCTCTGCAAACCTGAGGCTGCCTCGGTCCAAATAGAGGTTCCCAACTAGAAGTGATTTTCAGATCCTTAGTAACTGGCATGGCACAGGCCTTCAGCCATTGGAATACACCCAGCCAGGGCCCTCATCAAGCACCTACTGTATGCCAAGCTCTGTTCTGTGTGCTGGGGATGTGCCAGTGGAAAAAAGTCCAAATCCTCACCATGAGAAGCTGTTGTTCTAGTGGAAAGGAGCAGATGATAAACAACTGATTAAATGAAATCCATGGCAGCAGATGGCAGTAAGAGTCACAGAGGAAATCAAAACCAGGTAAGGGGAACCACAAGTTCTGGGCAATGGTGGCTGCACTTTGAGTAGGTGGTCATGGGAAAGCTCATGAAGGTGACATTTGAGCAAAGATGTGGAGAGAGTGGAGCCCCCCAGACATCTGGGGGAACAGAGTTCCAGGCAGAGGGATGAGCATGTGCAAAGTCCTGAGGCAATGGTGTGCCAGGCACATTCCAAGAATAGCAAGGGGCTGGGTGTGGCTACTGTGGAGGGAGAGAGGCACAGTGGGAGGAGATGAGAGGCAACAGGATACCATCTGGGTAGGGCCTTTGGGAGACGCTGAGGACCTGGGCTTTGCTCCAGAGGACACAGGAAGTCACTGGTGGGCTCTGAGCCGGGGAGGGACATTATCTGATCCTTCCAGCTGCTGTGTGCAAGGTGGAAGCAGGGAGACCCCTGATGGTCCACGGAGTGGGAAGGTGGCTTGGATCAGAGGAGAAGGGGCAGAGGTGCTCAGATCCCGGATCTGTGTTGAAGACGGGATTTCGGTGATTGAACTTCTTTAATTCCCACAACAACCCTATAGGAAGGCACATTTATTGGATGCGAAAATAGCTCAGAAAGGTGACAGAACTTTCTGAGGCTTGACGGGAGCAGACAGTGGAGAGGCAGGGCCTGACCCCAGTTTCCAAATCCCTGTTGGTTCCTTTGGAGTCAACAGCCTGGTCTGGTGATGGCCATCGGGGCTCCCAGAGGAAGTGACATTGACGTTGAGACCTGGAGGACCTGGAGCCATGAGCCAAGCCACAGCCCTGCTCCCTAGAGATCGCCGTCTTCAGAAACTCCCAGGCCCCTGCTCTTTCCACATTTTTCAGCCTGACGTGTGGCCAAAGCATGACAAACCTCCATGGGTGAGCACAGACGCAGGCGCCTCCCCTTTTGGGGCTAGGGTGGAGAGGAGGTAGGGTGTGTAGAGAAGCAGGAGGGATCTATCTTTGCGCTCACGATTCCTTGGAGTCAGCAGCTGACGCTGAGGCCTGGGCCTCCCTCTGCTCGGGTTAGGCTTGGCAGGGCCCTGGGGGATGTGTAGGAGCCTGTCAGGCCAACACAGCCTAGGCTGAGGGAGGTATCCCAGGCAGAAGGAATGAAGGTGTAGAGGAGGGCTGGGGTGGGAGGTGGGGGCAGAGCAGGAAGGGGTTGCCCAGGTTGTGGAGCTTATCTTAGAGGCCACTGGGAGCTTGTGAAGTTGGCTTTTCTTTCTTTAAGAGACAGGGTCTCACTCCATTGTCCAGGCTGAAGTGTAGTGGCACAATCATGGCTCACTGCAGCCTCTACCTCCCAGACTCAAGCAATCTTCCCACCTCAGCTGCCCAGAGTGCTGGGATTACAGGTGTGCACCACTGCACTTGGCCCCAGAAGTGGGCTATATTTTTAAAGTAAGTTTTTATTAAAGTGAAACATGCATACAGAGGACAGTACAGTCCTTTTTCAAGCTTTTCTTTAATCTTTTATTTCTTTTTTCTCCTGAAGATCACAGAACACAGGATGTGCTCACACTGGATACACCTGTGCCTCCTGCACCTGGGTCAAGAATCATCACAGCTAGGCCCCCAGGGCTCCTTGGGCCTCCTCTCAAGGTCACTACTCTGATCTGCTCCCATATGGTGGTTTTGCCTGAGGTGGGCTGTTTTGGTGTGTGCCCTTCGGGTCTCTCTTTGGGATTCTCTCTGTGGAGGGTCACTGAGCAGTGTGCCGCTGTCCGCTGGACCACAGACCCTCTATTTGTTCCTCCATGATGGGATGAATAGAGGGACTCATTTGGGTTGTTGTCCGGATGGGGCTTTCATGAGTGGAGCTGCTCTGGCCCTTCTTGCATCCTGTCCCTTCTTGCACGTCTGTTGGGTGTCTGCCTGCCCTGGAACACCTGGGACCTGGGGTAGATGTTTGTTCTGTGATGATCTATGTTGCTAGACAGTTTTCCTACATGGTTGTACCAGTTCATGTGGAAGGGTTTTTGTCTGTTTGTTTGTTTGTTTTCTTTCTTTCTTTTTTTTCCTTTTAGACGGAGTCTTGCTCTGTTGCCCAGGCTGCAGTGCAGTGGCACGATCTCGGCTCACTGCAAGCTCCGCCTCCTGGGTTCATGCCATTCTCCTGCCTCAGCCTCCTGAGTAGCTGGGACTACAGGCGCCCGCCACCATGCCCAGCTAATTTTTTGTATTTTTAGTAGAGACAGGGTTTCTCCATGTTAGCCAGGATGGTCTCGATCTGACCTTGTGATCCACTCACCTCGGCCTCCCAAAGTGCTGGGATTACAGGCGTGAGCCACTGCGCCCGGCCCATGTGGAAGGGTTTTAACTGATGAGCAGCCGTCCTGTTCTCTGTTCCCTGGACCCCAGTGTCTGCTCTCTGCCATCACCATGGGCCTCTCCAGGACCCCGCCCGCCACATAGTAAGTGGATCCCACACACATGTGGTCGGCCACTTCCCTGACCCATGGGCAGCATATGACATTGGCCTTTCTGGGTAGTGAGACCCTCCTCTCTGCTCCTGTGGCCTCACCCCCTCCTGGGTGCATTTCTGCCAGGGCACATCAAGGCCTCATATCCATTGTCAGCTCCTCAGTGTGGGCCCTCCCCTTCGTACTTCCCATAGACACAGGTGATCTTACTCACTCCCCAAGCTTTGGTCATGGCTGTATCAATGCCTCCCCGTCATGGGACCCTCTTTTCTGAAGGTCAGCCCTGGCCACCCAGCTTCCACTAGGCATCCCTCCTGGCCACACCCTGGGCTCTCAGACTCCCTGCATCCGGAGCAGGACCTGCCATGTGCCTCTCAACCTCACCCTCCTCTATGCCTGCCTTGTGACCTTAGAGGGGGCTGGAGGGCCACCACGCTGGGCATGCCAGTCCTCCCTCTGTGGCTCAGCTGGTCCCTGGCCACATGATGTCCATTCTTTCTCTCTAATTTCACAAATATTTCCTCTTCTGTCTACCCCTGAAGCCACTCTGACTCCCTGTTGAAAATTATCACTCCTCTCTCTGTGTCCCCCAATGCTGTACATCGTCAGGAACTTCTACTCACCATAAAAGGGCCTCCCACTATGGCCTGAAAAAAGACAGGAAGAGGTGCTCACAAGATGGCTGATCAGACGGCTGTGTGAACCTCACAGCCACGGCACCCTCCCCAGAGGTTTCTGCAGCTGCCACCACCACCTTAATGACAGACAAGCTTGGCTTAGACAGCCCTGCCTATGTGCCTGGCAGAGCACAGTCAGCCAGCAATCAGCCCAGGGGACTCTGGCCAGAGTAACCAAACTATGGCACAGCCCTTTGAGCAATCCAGCAACCAGTACAACCAAATAGGAAAGCTGTCCAGCAGCATCGGTCGTCACAGGACAATTAGAAACAGATCTTTTTAAAAAATAGTCGAGCTTTGAGTGTTCTTCAAAGGACAAAGATTGGGAGTGCAGTTGCCAACTGAGCTAACCAGGGCAAGGAAAATTCTGAAAACGTCACCACCCCTGAAGTCTTTCCAAGGTTGTACCACCTGATCCCAGATGGTGAAATTACCAGCATCAAGATCGATCAAGTGGATCCCAATGAAAGCCTCTCCATTATGCTGATGGGAGGCAGTGAAACCTCCCTGGTCCGTATCATCCAACACATTAATCATGGTGGGGTAAATGCCAGAGATGGCCAACTACTGCCAGGAGACATCATCCTAAACGTCCACAGGATGGACATTAGCAATGTCTCTCACAACTATGCCCTGCCTCTCCTGCAGCAGCCCTACCAGGTGCCGTGACTGACCATGCTGCACAACCAGAAGTTCTGCAGCAGGAACAGTGGACAGACCCTGGGTGCCTACAGACCCCAGGATGACAGCTGTCATGTGATTTGCAACAAAAGTAGCCCCAAGGAATAGCTTGGAATGAAATTGGTGTGCAAGGTGGATGAGTCTGGGGTGTTTATCTTCAATGTGCTAGATGGTGGTGTGGCTGATTGACATGGTCAGCTGGAGGAGAATGATTTGTGTGTTAGCCATCAATGGACATGACCTTCAGTATGGCAGCCCAGAAAGTGCTACTTATCTGATTCAGGTATTGCTGGCCCTCTTCGCCACTGTATGGACTCATGCAATGCCAAGAAGGTAGAAAGCTGCACTATGACCCAGTGTCCAGCTCTGAAAAATGCTGCTCCTTACGTGGTGGCATGTTTGATTCCCACATCTCTGCTCTGGGAAGTTGCTGGCCTATGTTGCATCCTGATAGTACCAGCAGTTTTTATCAGTCATAGCGATGGCAGTGGTGGGCTGTCTGGAGCAGCTGCTGCCCTCACTCCGACTACAGCAGGGAGGCACAGCTGGGACTGCACACTCCCTGGAGCTGGTGGGAGCCTGAGACAAGTGGAAGCCCCGTCCCTTCTAAGTTGGTGGGGCAGGAGCTCCCTGGGTGCAGCCACAACTGCCCAAACCATGGCTGCAGACCAGGGCCTCCTGGGCCATGGAGCAGGCAGGGATCCCCCCACCCAGGTGCAGTTGCAGTCCATCCAAACCACTGCTGTGGACCCAGGTATCCCTGCACTCTTGGGGGCCCAGGAAGGCTCCCCCTGCCCTAGCAGGCTCAGAAGTACCTGGCTTCTCCCTGCTGTTGGTGCCCACTTTGATCTTGGAGCAAAGTTGGGGCCAAGCCTGGGCACTGTCAAGGCCTGACCAGGTGTGCACACACTCAGTGCAATGCTGACATGCCAGTCCCCTGCTGCCTCAGCCGTCTCCAAACGTTGGGCACCAACAAGCATAGGAGAGAAGCCAATGGGGTGCAAAGGGTGACTCAGTGCTGGCCTGCAGGTTCCCCCTTGGCACCTACAACTTGGCCACCATGAATGGCAGCAGGAGGCAAATAAGTTCCTGGGTGGAAGAGGGTGAGTCTCTGGTGACACCCTACCTTCAGGCCAGGGAGGGCCGGGAGGCTAGGGACCAGGCTACCAGTTCCATGGACCAGAGTGGGAACTTGTGGTGCCTTTTCCAGACCCACCCATGGCTGCCCATGGACCAATTGGCACACACTTCCTCCCTCTGAGACCCATAAAAACCCCAGGCTCAGCCAGAGCTGAGTAGATGTTGGGAGAACCAGCTACAGAGAGGAGATACCAACTCCAGGGTCTCCTCTCTGCTGAGAGCTTCAGAGAACGATGGGATGACCTGCCTGCAGAAGGAGCTACTCACTCCAGGGCCTCCTCTGAGCTATTCTATCACTCAATAAAGCTCCTCTTCACCTTGCTCACCCTCCACTTGTCCACATACCTTATTCTTCCTGGATGTGGGACAAGAACTTGAGACCTGCTGAATGGCAGATCTGAAAGGGCTATAACACAAACAGAGCTGAACATCGCCCCTTGTTTGAGACATTGCAGGTGAGGAGAAGGAGAGAAGAGCTGTAATCCTTCAGCGATCCCAGACCTGGGAGCTCCCTGAGCCAGGCTGTGACTCGCTCTTTGCGACCCTGCAGTTCCTGGAGTCTCCAAGCTTCCAGGGACCACCATGTCCCCCAGTGGCAGCCATGGAAGCTGCTTGCATTGCACCTGGTCCAGCTGCAGCCTCACAGAGAGCCTGTACCCATGCTGGCACCTGGAGCTGCCCACCTTGCTGCAGCAGCCAGCATGCCTGACTGTACACAGTGACCAGATCCCATGCTCATTCACTCACACACCCCTCACTGCTCCATGCCTGGCTAGCCCTTGCCAGGCATGGGATCCAGGCTAGTAATGTGAGCTGGCACAGCCTGCCAGGCCAAGTGGGCAGAATGAGCCCAGAGGGTCCAAGCAAAACTCAAGCAAAAGGTGCCACTGGCCACAGAGGTTTCTGACCAGAAAAGCAACACCTCAGGGATCCCGTAACATTTTGGAGGGCTTGTCCAGGATCCGCAGAAGGGTGAGCAAAAGCAGATATAATCTTTCTATCCTTTTTTCAAAGTCTCTAAACTCCACAATAGTCAAAATGAAAGAAAAATACCAGGCCTCTATCAGCCACTTAAAAGCAACTAGTGTGGCTGCCAGACTTAGGACACAGAGGACAGGCTTGCTGGAGAGTACACTGTCAGTCCTCCATTATTCTTGGATGTTGGGAATGTTGGCTTTGTTCCAACCCAGTTTTCTTTCACAGAGATCTAGCCGTTGTGTGGGAACAGAAGGAGGTCTTGAGGCAACTGAGGGTATCTGACCAAGGCTATCCCTTGGCCTAATTCAAAGGCCCCTGGATTAACTCCAGTCCCTGACCACCTGTTACAGTGTCAGCACTAGGACCTCCAGTCTTTCCTATTGTTCTTTCTTTCAGGATGTCAAGGTTCCTATTTCTTCTTTATGTACAATGTTAAATGTTAAGAATGTTGCCAGTTGCAATGGCTCACATCTGTGCCAGCACTTTGGGAGGCTGAGGTGGGTGGATCACCTGAGGTCAGGAGTTCAAGACCAGCCTGGCCAGCATGGCAAAACCCCATCTCTACCACAAATACAAAAAAATTAGCCCAGCATGGTGGTGCCTGTAATCCCAGCTACTCAGAAGGCTGAAGCAAGAGAATCGCTTGAACCCGGGAGGCAAAGGTTGCAGTGAGCTGAGATTGCGGCACTGCATTCCAGCCCAAGTGACAGAGCAGTACTCGGTCTCAAAAAAAAAAAAAAAAAAAAAAAAATGTTAAGGATGTTGTTGCAAACCAGAGGTATTACTGGATTGAATGAGCATTTGGCTTAGTCATCAAAAGTCTAAAATAGAAGGTTAAGAGTAGCACAGAAGCCAAGTGTGCCTTCGTATCTGTACATAAATTTGTGGTAAAAACGTTCTTGTTGTTTCGTTGGGTGACAACTTAGTGCCAAGCACCTTGAGGCACAGAAAAGAAGCATGGCCTCAGGAAGGAAGCCTTTCTGTAAATGCAGGAGAAAATGGTCCATGGTCCCATATGTGCAGGCCTTCTTTGCCTTGCAGGGTAACCCAGACTTTTCTGATGTTGTAGGATTGATTCAGCCCTCCTACTGGCCATCTCAGGAGAAGCTACAAGGGGCAATTCCAGGGAAGCAAACCCCAGAAGTACCTCCAGCAGGAGAATCAACCCCCTCTGCTCCTCCCTATCCAGGTTCTCTCTGAAGCTTGCCGCAGCCTAGGAATCCTCATTTTAGGCAAGTCCCAGTCTCAAATGCCCCTACAACAGATGCCTGGTGAATATGGCCCCTTTTCTCTACAATACTTAAAGGTACAGGTCCCCTTTTCTCTACAAGACTTAAGGCGAATTAAGGGGGATCTTGGCAAGTTTTCAGGCAGCCCTGACAGGGATATAGAGGCTTTCCAGAACTTAATCAAAATATTTGAGCTGTCCTGGAAGGATGTCGTGTTACTTTTGAATCAATCCCTGACCACCACTGAAAAGCAGGCCACCCTGCAAGTGGTAGAGAATTTGGGGGATGAACTTTGTATCTCATATAGGGTCAGGCAAGAGAATGAGATTTATATGATTGGAAAAATAGCAGCACCACTGGAGGACCCTGAATGGGGCCCTAATGATGAAATGGGAGAATGGAGGAGGAAACACGTTCAGGTGTGCATACTGGAGGGCTTAGGAAAAACCAGGACTAAGCCTCTCAATTCCTCCAAGATTGCCATGATAGACCAGGTATTAGATGAGAATCCCACTGCCTTCCTGAAAAGGCTAAGACGGGCCTTGGTAAAACACATCTCTCTAGCTCCTGATTCAGTCGAGGGACAGCTAATCCTAAAGGATAAGTTTATCACACAGGTGGCCCCTGATATCAGGAGGAAGCTACAGAAACAGGTTATAGGACGAGACAGTACTTTAGAGAACCTCCTAAAAGTGGCCACCTCAGTCTTTTACAATAGGGACCAGGAGGAAGTCCAAAAAAGAGAAAGGAAATACAAGAAGAAGGCAGAGGCTCTAATAGCCACCTTGCAAGCTCACAAACCTCAGAGTCCCCAAGATACATGACAGTGAGGGGCGTCTCAGGTCTTTCCTCCACCGTGTCAAGAGTCATGGTGAAAATCACCGTATTCTCTGCTCCTCCATGAGTTCAAAAGCTAGAAGTATTAAAGTATTGTCCATTTGGTGTGGCCAAGGTCAGGTAATAAGAGATTTAAAAGGACTTCTTAAAGAGGAGGCCTATGGTTAAAAGTCAACTTTTGGGAGGCTGAGGCAGGCGGATCACGAGATCAAGAGATTGAGACCATTCTGTCCAACATATTGAAACCCTGTCTCTACTAAAAATATAAAACTCAGGCCAGGCACGGTGGCTCACGCCTGTAATCCCAGCACTTCGGGAGGCCGAGGTGGGTGGATCACGAGGTCAGGAGATACAGACCATCCTGGCTAACACAGTGAAACCCCGTCTCTACTTAAAATACAAAAAATTAGCTGGGCATGGTGGTGGGCACCTGTAGTCCCAGCTACTTGGGAGGCTTAGGCAGGAGAATGGCGTGAACCTGGGAGGCGGAGCATGCGGTGAGCTGAGATCCAGCCACTGCACTCCAGCCTGGGCTACAGAGCGAGATTCCATCTCAAAAAAAAAAAATTAGCCAGGTGTGGTGGTGCACACCTGTAATTCCAGATAATCAGGAGGCTGAGGCAGGAGAATCGCTTGAACCCAGGAGGCGGAGGTTGCAGTGAGCCAAGATTGCACCACTGTATTCCAGCCTGGGTGACAGAGCAAGACTCTATCTCAAAAAAAAAAAAGTCAACTTAATTAAAAATGAGTATCCAAGCTCCAAGCTATAGTTCAGGTTAATTAAAGATGGATGTCCATGCTATAGGTGTATTTAAAAGGCCTTAATGTCTTTTCTCTTCATGGATCTTGTTTTTCTGGAAAAAGGTTTTATTCTCGTCAGTCGACTGAACCATTTTTCTTCATTTTTGTCTTACCACTCTTAATGTACACATGAGAGGCCCCACAAGAACTTCTGATGGCTGGGACTCCTTGGGAAAATGGATGAGGTGCCACGGAGCCTGTTTTGGGAAAAACCTCTGTTTTCTTCACAGAACTCCAGGGATTAGAGGCAGATGCATCCCTCTCAAAATTTGTTTTTGTCTTCCAGCTAGGCCTATTTATTAGGGTTTAGAAACCACATGTTTTCCTAGCCCTGGTTCTTGAAGAACTCCACCCCAAGGCCAGTAATCCAACTAGGAGACTGGCAAATGAAAAATTTTACAACTACTGGATCTTCTTCTGTCTGTTTGTGTAGTTATATAAAACCTAATATCTGATCTGCATAATTTGGATCATATGTCTACATTTTGAAGCTATTTTATTTTTCAAAGATGAAAGTGACTCCCAAAAGTTAACTTTTAACCATAGCCCTCCTCTTTAAGAAGTCCTTTTAAATCTCTTACTACCTGACCTTGGCCACACCAAATGGACAATACTTCAATACTTCTAGCTTTTGAACTCATGGAGGAGCAGATAATATGATGATTTTTACCATGACTCTTTTTTTTTTTTTTTTTTTTTTTTTTTTT